GCTTGGAGACAGTTGCACTGACGTCGAAACCATGCTACCTGGTGTTGAAGAGTCGCTTGTGGCTCTCCATGGTAGGCGAACAAAATTGTTTCAGTGGATGATCCCGCTTTTGCACCGGATGCAATGAAATCTTCTTTCGAAACCATTTTATGACAATTTAACGACAATAGCTTTAAAGTTGGACTGGCCACACTCCAGGATTCGCCGATTGTCCGAGTCGCAAAACCCCGGTATTAGACGACGGTTTATGCAACGAATGCAACGAGTGATGGTTCCAATGTCATTTGCTGCGCCAAGGCCATGCATGGTCACGGCAGTCGATGAACCATTCAAATTACTGTTCAGTATGCCAAAGGATTATGGCGGTTCGATGTCATTTATTTTAATCACATTGCCAGCGCTTACGACGATTTCGCTTGACCGACTTCCCGGAACGACCCAAGCCATTCATGTTTCCCGTTGACAACGGCAATAATTTTTTAGGCTGGTTTCGGTTCCCCAAACTTAAAAACAAAGTTTTAAAATAGAACTCAAGGTCGACGCAGCCATGCAAAACAGTTCAAAACAGATAATTTTTATGATCAAGAAGTTTTCGCCTGTGCTGGGAGTTTCCTGCTGTTTCACTGTTGCCACATTCCCATGTTGGCATTGCAAACAATCACTTCTCAGCTCCAAAACAAGCTAACAATATTTTGGTCTGTGTTGCACAGATGATAACCGGTATAAAACATTACTATGTAAGCTCAATTATTTTCAAGCAGAGCAACAGAAACTAAATATACGACATAGCTGATGAATCCGTTTTCGTTAGTAGACAAGAAAATAATTTCAGCAAGTCGACGAAACCAGTAATTTCGCATGGCTTTCATTGTTGCCGGGAGCAGACAACCATAGGAGATCACCTGTCAACCAGAAATCCTGCGCAGATAGAACATTGGCGATGGCACTTGCGTTTCAGGGAAACCGGGAGGGGGCGGGCAAAATCAGATTATGCCTACATTTTCTCGATCAGAAAAATGACATCTCCATAAAGGACTGGTAGCTTCTTCTCAGCGGATGAAAGAACATTTTACGACATATTAAAGAATCCTTGAGAAAGTCTATGATGAAATTAAGATATGAGCACCAACAGACTTTAGAGAGTTTTGAAGTAGAGGATAATCGTTACATGCAGGGATGCATTTTCTAACGAAAGCATGCTGTAAATTTTTCTCATCAGCTGCTAATCATTTTTGGTTAGCAATTGAACCCACTGTGCTTCGGTGCAAATTGACCGAGAGATTGCGAAGAATCAGAGCAACATGATGCTTTGGTGTGGGCATGCCACAGAGAGCGTTCGCTCTACTGCTTCAGTTCGCCTTGGTCCCTCTTGTAGTCAACGAGATTAGCACAGGACTTAACCCGTAAAAATGCAGTAATCACTGATAGAGTTCTAAGATCCCTAGTGACTACTGAGATCTGCGGAAGAGACGGCGGCCACTGACGCGACGCTGGAGGGTCATCGCAAAAAACGTACGTGAAAGCCTAGGCCGGTGTTGCTCAGGCGGTAAAGCGTAAGACTCAGAACGGAAGGGTCCCGGATTCTAGCATCGATCAGAATTCGTCCATCCTCCTTCCGAGGTTGGTAAATGAGTACCACTCTGTGAGAAAGAAATAGGAGACTACACACTATGCCTGCGGCACAGCTGTTGTCGTC